AACTGTGTTACATACTGTCCATGACCACCGCAGCGAGAAATTACCATCACTTACACATACGTACACCTCACAACGTTGGTCCCGCCCCGAAAACCGCTCTCAATAGCTTGCGAACTGGCCACCCACTTTTCCTCACCCTCCCCCGCATGAGCATGACAGGCGTTTGGACCGTGTCAGTGATAACATGATGGTAAATAAACACAATTGCATTTACTACCAAAGCCTTAATGTTTGTATACTCTGTATTGCCTAGTAATTCCACGCAAATGCCGTTTAAATACTCGGCTGCAGCACACAAACTCACCGCACGCATGCTATCGTGCACAAACGACCAACGACAACGATAGAGAGCTCACGTAAACGCACAGAACCCTTTACTGTGTGTTTGGCCTAATAGTGCCGAACGTGTGTTGTGGGATTGTCTGTTGCAGAGGAGCATTAGACCGGCATTTACGTAGGATTATTAGATGATAGAGAGTACAGGAGCATTAAGACTTTGGTAGAAAATACACATTTTGTGTCTATTTACCATCATTTTATTATTGGAACGATCCAAGTGCCCGTGATCAGCATCTTTCTCTGTGCGCCTGCCTGCTCACAAGGGACAGTACGTGGACGGGACAATATACGGATTGAATCCGTGGCTGCTTTCACTCCCACTTCTGTCTTGCGATCTGCCAACATCTGCCACGTCATTTGGGAATCGGCACCAATCTGATTTGCATGTGCTTAACAACACCAGCAGGACGGCCGACTAGAGCTCCCCCTCCCCTCCCAAGCTCGCTCACATCATCGGATGATTCTCGAATGCACGGAGAATGGCGAACATGAAATGGTGAACTGAGAATGTCATGAAGGCGTAGGTGAACTGAGTATATTATCAATGTCATGGCCATCACAACCACTGGCAGCGGGATCAAGTCTGCCCCCATCGCGCTCACGCTAACACCTAATATACAATATATTAGGGGGTTAATAATGACACCTATACAACAATATGAATGACAATAATAACAACAATAACAATAACAATAACAAATGACAACAAAAT